GATGTGAAAATTTAATTTTGGTTACGTAATTTTTTTTTTTTTGGTGAAAAATTTGATGTTGGATGCATGCAAAATTAATATTTCAAATGGATCCTTTTCGATTTCTGATTTTTTTTCAATTTTTGTATGCACTTTTTTTACAAGTTAACCTTTGGCCTTTTCATTATAGAATTTGATGAAATCAAACTAATTAAATTATATTTGTTACTTGCAAATTTCAACTGCCCGATTGTATGCAATTGTTTCGTTACCAGTAGCTTTCAAAAGAGATAATAATGGAAATGAGAAATCCAATGACCATTCTTTTTCCATCTTAAAGTGAAAAGATTACCTAGAGAGAGTTCAATTTGTTGATGATAGATTACAATTTAAGTATGTTAAAGATAATTTCAATTTTTATTCCAAGTTCAAAGGTTATTTCCAGTAATGATTTCTTTTCATTCATTCGTCTGTCCATTTGTTGCAAAATTTTTTTTATTTTTATTTTTTGCTAAATTATTTGAGTTATTTGAAATGAATAAATGATATAAGAAATGAAATATACCTGTTGCATATGCGCATCTTTACATTTGAGTACACAATGTGGCACACGTCGTGCGACATTATAATTTAATAAAAGCAGTATTGAAGTTATTGTTAATTCCAATATCATTTCAAATTGGAGTTTTTTTTTCTGTTTCGTTTTGTTTTTTTTTTGATATCTGTAAAATTTCAAGAAAGAATTTCAATGTTTATACTTATACTTAATATAATCTAAAAAAATTTTCAAAAGTAAAATTTTCTAAGTAAAATCGATAATTTCTACAGAAAGAACATTGATATATATGATAATAACGATGCAAAAAATCATAATTGTACTAGTAATACGGTAACACTGATAGCAATAATAATGATAATCATTAGAGAGGATTAAGAGGAGGGATAAATTGCTTAGCCAAATCTCATTTCTTACTTTTAAATGATGAGACTTTAAGGAATGTTGATTGTCCCAGTGAGGGAAAGGAGGTAAAAGGGAGGCGTTTAATTGAATCTAAAAACGTCATATTAATAATCACACTGATAATGATAATAATAGTGATAATTAAAGATAACAATTAATTGAATAATTAAATGACTAAAAAGTTATGTGTAAAATATATATATATATATATGCGATATGTTGTAATATAATTTCATATGTCTACTTCAGAAATTTATTCATTATTTCATTTTGGAATATAACATTTTCTCAAGGGAAATTCAAATATAGCAGTTAATTTTGAGCAAATTCTAAAAACCAATATATTTGCAAATAGTCATTGGAATTCTTTAACGAAATTCATTTCAGGTATGATGCAAAAAGTAATGCCAATTTTGGGATATTTTTAGATGATTCTGCAACCAATATTCAAAACTGTAATTGAAAAAAAAAAACAAAAAGAGGGTCTTCTATGAATAGGTTTCAAGTTTTCCGAAAAATTTCTGGAGTTTCTTAAACGTAACTTAAATTCATTCTAATTCTGAGTTGCATTTTCCACTTTTAGTGTAGAATTTATTGAATTATTAAAAATTTTAACAAGTCTATTTATGTGGTATACAATATTCGGATTCAAAAATGTTAGTAATTTTGTAAAATTTCATATTAAACAGTGTTTAATCCAATCAATTTCATAATTTAAAGCAAAACAATACTTCAACTCCTAACTATCGATAACTATCAATGATTTTAATTATCAGTAATATCAATAACTATCAGTAAAATAATGCTCCAACTCCTATCAACAACTATCAGTAAAATAATGCTCCAACTCCTATCAATAACTATCAGTAAAATAATGCTCCAACTCCTATCAATAACTGTCATTGATTTTAATTATCAGTAATATCAATAACTATCAGTAAAATAATGCTCCAACTCCTATCAATAATTATCAGTAATTTTTGATCAAACTGTTTGAAAAATTTTCATTCTTTGCATAATTAAATATGAATGATTGATGTTTGATGTTAGACATAATAAAAGTACAAATTGGTATTGGTTGGCTTATTCTTAAACTAAAATACATTTCAAGTTTAAGTTATTTAATTTTAAAATATAATTAAACTCTCATTAAATTTTATCATCGTTTACCTATACATCATACTACCTGTTAAGAAGAGATATAAATATGTAAACAAACAAAATGAATAATCAGAT